GAGAAAAGACGGCACTTTCTTGATTCCAGAGTCCTCTTCTGTCCTTTCTTTCTGAAAGTTTTTACCTTTTGTGTTGGTGACTTTGCTCCTTTTAATTCAGTGCTTAGTAGCAAAAATTTATAGCAAATGGCTCCTTCAGTACATTATTTTAATAATGAGAGAATAATGAAATAGCAACCTATTCTGATGGTTTTCTTTCATTTAATTGGCCTTGCTTATCTTTTCTTAAACTTCTTTGCATCATTTTCTACAGTGATTTTCAACTTCAGTGATGAGAATCTTTTGCCACTAATTGCAAACTTTTATCCAGAAGCAAGCTAGTAGCAAGCTCATGTAACTAGTATTTACATTTGTAATTGTTCAGAATTCATGGAGGCCTAGCCACACTTTGCTAGTCTGGAAAAAGTAACTTATTCAATTATAATGTTAATGTTATTAGCAGGATTTTTTGGGTTTTTTTGTTTTTGTTTTTGTTTTTTTTTTTTGTTTGTTTTCTCTGAGACGGAGTCTCACACTGTTACCCAGGCAGTGGGGCTCACTGCAGCCTCCACCTTCTGGGTTCATGTGATTCTCTTGCCTCAGCCTCCCAAGTAGTTGAGACTACAGGCATGCGCCACCACACCTGGCTAATTTTTTGTATTTTTAGTAGAAATGGGGTTTCACTGTGTTGGCCAGGCTGGTCTTAAACTCCTGACCTCGTGATCTGCCTGCCTCGGCTTCCCAAAGCTGAGATTACAGGCGTGAACCACCACGCCCGGTCTGTTTTGATTTTTAATTAACAATTTCTCTCTGGTAGGTTTGTAATAGAATAAAAGAATTGAATAATATTTAATCATAAGAATCTGCCTGTGGATACCAAACAATAAAAGGAGATCAATTTAGCAATCGGAATGTTGGCCATGGAGGACGAAGCCTGGGTACTAGTTTCAGTTCTGCCACTTCATTTCTATTCTCTGAACTGAGGTAGCTAAGGTAATTTGTTGATCTTTCCTTAAATTTTGACATTCTGGAAAATCAGACAGTTTGCTTGAGTCCTGCCCTCCAAAATAGGCCATAATTTCATTTTTTTCACAACTGAGCACTCTTGCTGTCTTGTTCTAAATGAAAATAATGGTTAGTGGATGTTAGAACTGTATTGTCTGCTGTCATACAGCAATTGCTGCAGTAGGTTTCTTTAAATCATTATTTGTGAACGTAATTTTAGGCCCTATATCTTATCTCTGTTATTTTCCTTCATATGAGTTTAATGTAAGTTATACTTGTCTAGGGAGTTCTAAACGTTTCCTGAATTATAAGACTGGGAACGTATTTGGTTTGTCCGTGTTAAAATTGCTTTTTTTTTTTTTTTTGAGTTGGAGTTTCACTCTTGTTACCCAGGCTAGAGTGCAATGGCACAATCTTGGCTCACTGCAAACTCTGCCTCCCGAGTTTAAGTGATTCTCCTGCCTCAGTCTCCCAAGTAGCTGGACTAAAGGCATGCACCACCACACCCAGCTAATTTTTGTAGTTTTAGTAAAGACGGGGTTTCACTGTGTTGGCCAGGATGGTCTCGATCTCTTGATCTCACAATCCGTCCACCTCAGCCTCCCGAAGTGCTGGGATTACAGGCATGAGCCACCACACCCAGCCCTATTTGACAGTTTTTCACCCACAAATAGGTCATTTCATATGCCTCAACTTAATAATTATAGGTGAGTTAAATAGTTACCATACTGAGGTTTTACTTGAAAGATCTTTCTACCGGGCGTGGTGGCTCACGCCTCTAGTCCCAGCACTTTGGGAGGCCGAGATGGGCAGAACACGAGGTCAAGAGATCGAGACCATCCTGGCCAATGTTGTGTAACTCTGTCTCTACTAAAATACAAAAAAATTAGCTGGGTTTGGTGGTGGGTACCTATAGTCCTAGCTACTTAGGAGGCTGAGGCAGGAGAATAGAAGTTGCATGAGCCAAGATCTTGCCACTGCACTCCAGCCTGGCACAGAGCAAGACTCCGTCTCAAAAAAAACAAAAAATAATCCAGGCATGGTGGTGCATGTCATCCCAGCTACTTGGAGGCTGAGGCAGGAGAATCTCTTGAACCTGGGAGGCTGAGGTTGTGGTGAGCCGAGATCGTGCCATTGCACTCCAGCCTGGGTAACAAGAGTGAGACTCCATCTCAAAAAAAAAAAAAGATCTTTCAACCATCTTTCAACCTAAAAGCAGAATTGCCTTTTATTTTATTGGGCATTCATTGTTTATTCAATAAAAGGTACCTTTTGAATGCCTGCCCTGTGCCAGCCCTGTGCTAAGCCTCATGGACACGCCCGTGAGTAAAATAAACTTGTTCACAGGTTTCAGGAAATCTGTACTCTAAGAGAGGAAATAGGCAGTTAACTATAAACAATTCTAAAGTTACATGGGAGTTGTAGAAGAAAGTATACATACTGCCATACTGCATATGACATGAAGGATTTCTCATCTAAGTGTTCTAAAAGGTCTCTTGTTCAGAAATTATCCAGGTGTTGGATAGTTATGGTGGGATAGGGTTGTGCACAGTACATGTGGTCTTAAAAGTCAGGGGAACAGCGTGTGCTCAAGGGTGAGAAAAAGCTTGGCAGTTTCATAGAGTGTGAATGGAGATAAGACCAGAGAGGTCGTAGGTAGGGAACAGATCTTTGAAAGCTTCAGAAGGCATATTTAAACTTTTGGGCAATAGAAGCCAATGAAGCATTTTAACCAGGCAGGTTATATATTCAGGTATATAAGGCAGTATGCAAAGTGGTTTTGAGTGTCCATCTAAAGACGGAATGTCTTAATTCAAATCCTAGTTCTACTGTATTATAACCATTGAAATTGGGCAACTTAACATTCATAGGCTTTAGTTACCTTATCTATAAAGTGGAATAAATGGAATAATAATAGTGTTTTATTGGTAGAGTTGTTCAAGTTAACTTAGATAATGTGTGAAATACTTAGTAACATTCATAGTCCATACTAAGTGTAAATAACTTATTTATTTTTTCTATTATTTGCATTATTATTAGGCTTAGAAAGATCACTCTGTTACTTGGGTTAGAGTGGAGTAAGAATAATTGCAGCGAGACCTGTTAATAATTCAGGCAAGAGATCATTTTGACCTGGTTTGGGGTAGTGGCAAAGGGATGGGGGTAAAAGATGTTGTTTAAAGGGATTTCAGAGGTAGAATTCTTAGCACTCACTTGGTGACTTAATGTGGGAGATGAGGGAGAGGGAGGAATAAAAGAGTCAAAGTATCTCAAATCATTTTTGGAATGACAGTTATATAAATAAACCCATATCGGCTGCACTAAAATGATATGTTAATGTTTGAAGCTTATTTTTTCCATTTAATAAAGTGTTATTTTTCCAAATGTACAGTTGCCTGGATTTGTTCGTGCATCTTCACCAGCAGCTGGAGCATCTCCATCCTTGGTATTTCTGGTATAGATTACTTGAGCTCTGTGCTTTGAGATCCGTTTGATAAGTCCTTTACTAAGGAGCTCCTGAGGGGCTGCCCTGGCCAGGGAGTCTCGAATCTTCAGTCTCTCAGACACCACAGCTGAGGTTATAAGTTAATAGTTGGGAACTTCCTCACAGAGTTTGTCATAGGTAGCTTTGTCAAACAAGCCAAGTTATTGAGCTTGTCTCGAACTTTGCCTTTGGACCACTTCTACTTTTTGGCCTTGTCTCCTGATTTGTTCACTGGGTCCTTTTCTTTCCTGGCTGACTTTCCGGTCTCTTTCTTCTTCTTGTAGTCCTTGGGTGGCATTGTGAAGCTCTTAGAGCAGTGACGAACACTGCAGCCTCGCTAAGATGTTGGACAAAAAGTAAAGCTAATTTTTACCAAATAATAAGTGATAGATAATGTCCATAGGTGAAACTTAAGAATTTGAAGAACTGAGATAATTTCTCATCTATAAGTAGTTAAATCTCTGAATAGGTTGGGAGAAAAAGAAATATAATTTGAACAAGTATTTTCCCTTTTTTGTTACGTTTCATTTCTTGTTCTGCATTTCTTTTTAATTCTGTCATTTTTGTTATTTTAATTATTTTGCTTTTAAAGTTGTTTTAATTTTATTACGTTGAACCATATAGAAGTTGCAATGTTTGCAGATGAGAAAATATTTAACTAGCAATGAAATAGTTAAATATCGGTAAGTTCGTAATTATATTCTTGTTCAGTAAGAGGCTTTAACTGGCATTATGGGAGTCCATTTTGAGTTAGATTGAGTGCTAAAGGCTTTCTGAAGGAATGTTGCTCTGATGGCATAAGAACAAGTGGAACAGAGCCCCATGAAGTAGACAACTTCAACCCAGCATCATTCTTTCTTGCTAAGTTGATATGGCTATGAATACATAGAAACTGGAAAATTCAGACAATATAGAAAGCTATAGAGAAGAAAGATTTTTTAATGACAGTTATCCTACCATCCAATGATAGTGTTGATTTTTAATGTAGTTCCTTTTAGTCATATATATATATACAGAAAGTTACTCTGCCTTCATAATAGAGAGAGAATAGATCATGAGACTGCATTATTTTATTTTTATTGTATTTTTAATCATCTTATAATGTACATATTTATGAGGCATATGATGTTCTGATACATATAGTATATAGTGATTAGATCATGGTAATTGTATACATACCCACCATATCTAACATTTATCATTTCTCTATGCTTGGAACATTCAGTAACCTTCTAGCTATTTGAAACTATATGATATTAACTGTAGTCTTCCTACAGTGGTATAGAACACTAGAATTAAACTGTGTTATTTTAAAGAAGAAATGTACATACAGATTTTTGTTAAGGATACAGATTTATAGAGCCTCCCCGAGTCATTAATAATTTGTCTCTTTTGAAGAAAATGTTTTTCCTTAATCCAAAACAAAACATTTAATTCTTCATTGATTCAGTTAAATGTGGCTATTAGGCTTTTTTTTTTTTTTTTAAGTTTCTTAAATGAATGTTTTGATTGTAGCTCCTAGAGTGATTTCACTAAAATAGAAACAAAGTTGAAAATTGTTACTGTACTAATGACAGTAATGTAACAGCTTGTAGTTTTATTGCAATTTTATAAATTTTTAATTCTTTCAAATTCAGCCATTGTATTGTCTGTTTTTATCAGCATAACTATCTTGTTTTATACATGAGAAACCACAGAGAGAATAAGTTACATGCCCAAATTCACAAGTAGTAGTAGAAAGGCCTAGACTTTTTACTTTGGTTAATTCTTTTTCTGTTTATTGAAATACAGTAGTAACTCTCAAAAATCACTCCGTTATTCAGTATTTATTAAGTGCTCAGTGAATACGATTTAAAAATAAAGCCTATGGAAAGCGTATAGAATAAGGAATATTGGCTGGAGGGCAAGGTATTTGGGGGAAAGTAAAATAATTGAGATCAGGGTAGAAAGGCAGTAAGGGAGTCATAGACTCTTCTTGAACAATGGAGTACAATAATAATGTGTGCATATTGGATATTTAACTAGGCAGAAATGAAAAGATTAGAAGAACGAACAAAACTGTAAGGAGGAAACACATTTGAGAACTGTTGTGGAAATATATTTTTAGGACTTGGTGGACTAAGAACAGTGCTTTGAGGGAGAGAGTAGATGATTCCTAAGCTTCATACTGGAATGCCTGGAAAAATGTTGGAAAATTACAGAGGCTTATTTGGTAGGAAAATGGTTATTTATTTTGGACATGCTGTGGTTGAAATCTCTACAGGACATCCAGGTGGAAGATGTATGACTAGCAGGCAAATTGTAGATGGAAAAGGGAGCTGAGGAGTAAAAGGGCTGGAGACCTAGGCAGAGAAATTATTTGTGTTGAGGGAACAATTGATGCGGTATCATCATTCCTTCTTTCCAGGTACCTTCAGTGCTTTGCATATGCATAGCCTCAGTGTATTTGAGTAATGTGTGACAGAACTGTATTCAGATACCTGTTGTATGACTTAAAACTGTACAGCCTCAGTAAGAGTGGGCACTTCAGGATTCAAAGGAGCCCAGCCTTAAGCATGTCAACATGATTGGCAGGAAAACACTGGTTCTTCAGGCAGGCTAATTTAGTTGTAGGAGCAGAAAGTAAGTAAAGTTATATACCTTCTCTGTGCTAGGTATTGGTAAGCCTTTTGTATATACTTTATGTCTCAACAACCCTGTGAAGTAAGGAGTGTTGTTCCCATTTTGCAATGATGAAACAGAGGCTTACGAGACGATAAGTAATATTAGAGCAGGAATTTGAACCTTCAGTGTTCCTTCGATGCTATTGGTCTTTTTACTGTGCCACACGTTGCTCTGTTTCCCAATAAGACCTGTCAAATATTACTATCAGGCTTATGCTTAAGTAGGTTTTTTATTTTGGCATTATGGCTGCACCTGGGACTGGCCAGACAGCTGCTGCTGCTTTGGATTTAAAATGTAATTCGTTGCATTCTGATTATGGGTGCCCATTTATCTGTAATCAGAACACGTGTATAAAATGAATAAAAATGAAAGTTGGATCACATGTTTTTGCTCAGGTGCATACCTTTTGGAATGCTTTCAAACACCAACATTTGTTTATTGTCTTTTACTCTGCTGGATATGTGGAACTTTATTTAGAAGGATTAATTGAAAGTTCAGAGATCCCTGGAGGAAAAGATACTAAAATTACACATTTTCATAGCACTCTTGTTAGCTGAAAATTGTCAACATTTATGACATTACCAGGAAAACCACAATCTAATCCCAGTTTGCATTGTTTTAAGTAGGCAGAAACAAGATTGTATATTCTAAGATACAAAGGCTTATTTGTGCCATGAAACTTCCTGTAATATCCAAGCCTGAGTAGAAGAAGGTACATTTACTTTTCTGTCTTTTGTTTATATTCTTGTATACTGCTCAGCAAATTCGAAGCAAGAAACATCATCTCAAAACTATAGGGTAGTGTCAAATACAGGAACAATGTAATTTCTCTAGTATTCAGAATAGGAGATACTTTATTTTTCTCTTGAAAAGTGATTTTAAAGTTTCTTGGCCAATATTCAGTGAATCATGAGAGACAAAATTAATGAATAGCCTTCTAGCTAGACCTTCTTGTTCAGCTGAATTATGTTTCTCAGTTGCCATACGCTTAAAGGAAGTTAACATGCTTCCTTTCTTTAATATTGCTCTTTGTTCTTTGGGAAAATGCCATAAGAAAATAGGAAGTACCTCTCTAGCAGTGTGTTTCAGTCTAATTACTGACACTGACACCCTGTTCTGTTACTACTCCTTCTCCTTGCTAGCAGCCTGAATTCTGCTTATCTACTAAAAGGGGGATTCCAGACAGACGAGGAAACAGCTTTCAAATGATATACTGCAGGCGTACCGAGCTATTCCCACACTGTGCAGTCTGGAAATCAGGGGGCACCTCTTTGACGATGAATTCCAATTAGTTGCTAAAGATGCCAGAGTGTGTGCGTGCACAGGCGTTTTCTTTCCCCTCCCCCTTTCTTCCTTTTTCCAAGCCCCCTCTTCTCCCTGTTTCCCCTCCTACTCCTTTATCCCCTCCCTCTGTGTCTCAGTTCTGCAGTACTCGGGGTTGAAGCACATTCCTGCTCTGCAAGGCTTTCTGTTAAGGATGTATTGTGGCTTTTGTTTGGATTGCAGCATGCAGAATTACAGGTAACATTCTGAAATTGAACTAAATGGTAAATTCTGTTGAAATGTTTTCAAAGAGGCAAAATGTTATATTGGAATCAGTGAAGAAAATAAATTATCTTGGCTAATTTTATTAGTGGTAATTGTAGTGAAAGATTTTCATAAATGTTATAAGCAAATTCCTTTTCTCCCCCAAGTCTCAAATGAAAGGAAATGGGGGTAAATCAATCTGACCGTGATTCATTTTGTTTTATGCTGATCTTGAAAGCTTGATGTTGCTGCTGCTACTCTATACCGTACGGATCAGTTATATGGGGTGCTATTGTGGGTAGCCATGAATAGTGGTGCCAGTAGGGGTGGAGTGGGAGGGATGATGCCAGCCTGAGCTAGCCAGGTTCTTTGATTAGGGCATTGGATGTGAAATGTAAAATGCTCTCTCCTTTTCTTCTATCAGCTGTTCAGAGGAGACTCATTACAACTCCTGCTGAAGCTCCTAATCTTCTTCCCTTCTCTTCTGCCCTTTCCCCCTACCCTCACTTGGCCTGAAGACGTTGTCCCCAGAGTTTGCCTTACTCCCCTGGTGCTATGTGTATGGTGAACTTGGCATTATGGCCGCGTTTGGAACTGGCCAGACAACTGCTGCTGGCTCTCCTTATTCCAAGAAGGATTTAAAGGGGAATTGCACTGCAGGCAATGCACCACAGCAGCAGCATCAGGAGCTTGGGGACTAAGGCTCCTCTGGCATTATTACATACATGCAAAGCTGACCGCGATGACAGCGGCTGCTCCTTTGAACTGTTGGAAGCAGCCAAGCGGCAGCATGAAGTGACAGATCACTCCTGAGCTCAAGATGAACTCCACCTTGGATGGTAATCAGAGCAGCCACCCTTTTTGCCTCTTGGCATTTGGCTATTTGGAAACTGTCAATTTTTGCCTTTTGGAAGTATTGATTATTGTCTTTCTAACTGTATTGATTATTTCTGGCAACATCATTGTGATTTTTGTATTTCACTGTGCACCTTTGTTGAACCACCACACCACAAGTTATTTTATCCAGACTATGGCATATGCTGACCTTTTTGTTGGGGTGAGCTGCTTGGTCCCTTCTTTATCACTCCTCCATCACCCCCTTCCAGTAGAGGAGTCCTTGACTTGCCAGATATTTGGTTTTGTAGTATCAGTTCTGAAGAGCGTCTCCATGACTTCTCTGGCTTGTATCAGCATTGATAGATACATTGCCATTACTAAACCTTTAACCTATAATACCCTGGTTACACCCTGGAGACTACGCCTGTGTATATTCCTGATTTGGCTATACTCGACCCTGGTCTTCCTGCCTTCCTTTTTCCACTGGGGCAAACCTGGATATCATGGAGATGTGTTTCAGTGGTGTGCCGAGTCCTGGCACACCGACTCCTACTTCACCCTGTTCATCGTGATGATGTTATATGCCCCAGCAGCCCTTATTGTCTGCTTCACCTATTTCAACATCTTCCGCATCTGCCAACAGCACACAGAGGAAATCAGCAAAAGGCAAGCCCGCTTCAGCAGCCAGAGTGGGGAGACTGGGGAAGTGCAGGCCTGTCCTGATAAGCGCTATGCCATGGTCCTATTCCGAATCACTAGTGTATTTTACATCCTCTGGTTGCCATATATCATCTACTTCTTATTGGAAAGCTCCACTGGCCACAGCAATCGCTTCGCATCCTTCTTGACCACCTGGCTTGCTATTAGTAACAGTTTCTGCAACTGTGTCATTTATAGTCTCTCCAACAGTGTATTCCAAAGAGGACTAAAGCGCCTCTCAGGGGCCATGTGTACTTCTTGTGCAAGTCAGACCACAGCCAACGACCCTTACACGGTTAGAAGCAAAGGCCCTCTTAATGGATGTCATGTCTGAAGTGGCTCAGATATGGGGTTTCCCTGTGTATGTGTGTGTTTTATCTCTAAGTATTTCTAATTCATTAGGAAATCTGGGACAGAATACTTTGACTCTAAGCAATAGCATACAAATGATTTGTATGAATACCTTCTAAGTTTGTAGAAATGGTTTTCAAAAGTGCTTTTGAAGACTCAAGATCATGAAGACAAATTGCTCCTGGTTCCAATTTTTGAAATGTTTTGGAAATGACTACAGTTCTCAGATTTAAAATGAATAAAGCCATATCTAACACCTCTCCAGCTGGCATGACTGAACCTGAGTGCGAAAAGCGTCAGCATTTTAAAAAGTCATCATTTTCTTGTCACTTCTGGGTTCTTTCCAGCTATTTGGGCTTCATGTGCAATTGATTTCTTCTAACAGGGAATAGTAAAATATAAATTAAGAGGTTTTAGAAATTACTTTTTATGTATGCTGAAGTATAACTACACTGCAAGTTTCAATACTGTCATTTAGAAAGCCAAATATTCTATGTTTTATTCTCTTAAGAGAATTCTCAGTAGAGTGAATAATGTGAACACATAAACATGAATTTTAGAATTTTACAGTGAACCATGAAGCAAAAGTGCAATCAACTTATACAGTTTATGAAAAACAGCTATTTTTTGTGCCATGCTTCACAGAGATCTAAAGTTAAGTGTGCATAGAAGTGATCATGTTTGTAGTATTTTTGCCCATGCCTTTGTGTTATGTCTATATTTAGAATATCTGAATTGTTAGATTTCTCTTTTATAGCCAAATGTGTTTAAATAAGCTAAAAAACAATTGATAGGCTGTTGGCTGTCGGTTTTATACTGGTGACTATATACAAAAATGTGTCATTAATATTCTCTGTTCTTTCTATCCAAAGACTTCCAAAATATTAGAACATCAGGGAGAAGGGTATATGTCATAAGAAACTGAGTCAGAAAGTATACTGTAGTATGCTGTTTTGTTTGTTTGTTTCTTTTTGTTTGTTTGTTTATAGAAGGGAGTTGAGACATTTTCTTTGTGGTTAAATGGAATCAACTAAGTATTTTTGAAAAGTATTCTTTCAGTTAGTATTAAGGAATCCATATATGAAGAGGGAAAGGGGAAACTCTAAGTCTCTTATTGCTATTCTCTTTCTGGGAAAAAAAAAAATCCTTTGGCATACAGTTCTTAATAGTCTTTTTTTCCCCTTTCATTTTATTCTTCTGTAAAATTATTATTGAGAGTTATGTGTGTTTGTATGTAGTAGTGATGTTCGTTCTTAAAAGTGATTATCTTTAGAGCAAGAGGTTTATTTTTCTAAAAGGAGAGAAGAAATTCCGGCAGCTCCAGGCATGAGAGTATTTCCTCTACTTTTGTGCTGATTTTAATGTTTCGAGAATCTTCAGGGGACTTACTTGATCTCTCCCTTTGGTTAGATGTTGTAATCTGAATGCAACAATGGTGATCAGTGAGATGGAAGATGGAAGAAACCCAGGGAACATGGGTTAAAGTGGATTTCTGAATCCAAGAAAGGACATAGGTATTTATAAAACAGGCAGATAAGCTTTGGTTTTCCATCATGATGCCAGTGTTCTTATGATTTTAGGCTTTAGACATCAACTTGACTTTAACCTCAGTTGTGTTCTATTTAAACTTTAAGTGACTAAGCATTATATAAACATTCAAACTTCAGATTCTGGGTTTTTCCCAAAAGCTTGCTTGCTCTTTATGTTTAGTGTTAGCAAATTTTATTCTAAGCTGTTTCAAAATTTAGAACTCATACTAAGATCACAAGTTATGTTAGAAACGGCTTGGTTAAATTGTCATTTCATGTGGGAAAACTTTTCTGTTGGATTCTGAAAAATCTTTGTATCGTATACATCTCCCTTTTAAGTGGTACAGATCTAAAAAAACCAAAATTTACCTTTTTTTATATATGTTAGAGAATGTAACCTGTTCATATTTGCAGTTCGCTTATGAATTTTTAGTTTAGAAAATATGACAATTTAAAACACTTAATTTTTGTAGAAAGATTTGTTAAATCATTAGGTTTGATCTGATTTTGTTGTGTGTATATGTGTTGGGGAAGAGGAGATGGAGATGCTCCTGGACACAGTAATGTCCTCTTCAGTGGCTGGGGGTGTTTTCTATGTGATAGGTTTGGAAAGTTCATATTTAACTGATCTTTTCATCCTGGAATATTTAATGCAGCATTTGATGACATTTAGTTTAAATACCAGTCAGACTTCAAAAAAAAGTATATTTTTACACTCAGTTACCTTGGCATTGATAGGATAGCTTATTTAATTTTATATTGGACGTGACTGGTATCAGAGGAAACATATGCTTTTGGTGATTATGTTGAAATTATTTCATAGTAAATTTTAAACTAGACTAATGTTAAATTTGTAAACTAGTTTCAGTGAAAGTGGTTTGTTTTTTGCCCCCTTCTTAGAGTAGACAAGCAATTAGAAGTAAACTCGTGTGCTCTACTTCAGTGAGAGCATGATCTTAACACTAGAATGGATATTTACATTTTTTTCATCGGCCTGTTGACTCTTACCCAAAATTTCATTTTGGAAAAGGTTTTCTTTAAGCTTTATTGCTGGATAAATTCTTTTTAAGCCTTTTATGATGGCTTTTCCTTTTTACTTGAATAATAGTCTCAGTATTTTAAGGATTGGGAAAACTTGAATTTTTGTACCATAAATGCATTGTCCACCTCCTTGAACTTGAAAATGAAGCAACAGGGTTATAGACTCCCAGATGGTGGAATGGTTTCTGGGAGGGTTTTTCCTCAGCTTTTCAGGTTTGTTTGAAAAATCTGCACGGTGACTTGGTATAGGAATTATCTTAATTTCACTGACTGTATTTTTGTTTCATAAGTTGTTCTCAGCATGCCAGAATTTATTGTTATATGAGCAAAGTTTGGGAAGTTTAAGAATGGGAAATTTGTGGCATTAAGATTTTTTTAAAGTCCTCATAAATCATTTTGCATGTTGATTTTTGTGTAATTTTTTTCATTTCGGGTAGAAGAAAAACTAAACATAAGTATTTACATTAAATTTAGATATTATTATGTTGCAGACCTTGGAAATATTGTAGACATTTCTCATGGCTGTAAACAAGTCATTTGGCCTTTCTTCAAAATTTGTGTGACAAAAGGGCATCATATAGTAAAAATGAAGTTGGAACTGAGAATTTTAAAATGTAGGTTTCTGTTTCTAAGTAGTTTTGTAAATAAGGACAAGTCACTTCTCTAAGCATTTAATTTCTTGTAAAAGGAAATATAGATCCCTTCATACCTCATACTGTTAGTTTGAGGATTGAGTTAAATAATGGATGTAAAAGTACTTTGTAAATCGTAAAGTGCTTTGCAAATAAAAATGGTTACTATTATTTGTATCCACCATTCTTCTACATGTAAGGAAGCCATATATCATGATGTGTTCCCTCACACTTAGATCTTTGAAGCCCAATGCTACATCACTGCTCTTTGCTACTTAGCAATCCCAGACCTGAGAAGAGAAGCAAAATAAATACTCACCCTCCTAAAATTATAATAGCCTTAAATTCAGCATAAAACCACTTTGATTTACTTGTCTTCAAACTCTCTGAAGGCAAGGGACAGTGTCTTTTATCTGTCTGGATAATAATTTTATCCCCTCAATCTGATATGGGATCTGGCTCAGAGCAGAAGTTTCATAGAATGAATAAATGACTCTGTAATTATTGCATTTAGTCACCAGCCTTTTTCTTTCTGTAAGGAATTATAGGACAGTGATGTTCGGAAGACAATGCAGATCCCCATAACCAATCTTCCATTTGCCCTAGGTTATTTCAGATTTTAAATCTTAAATGATATCTTTTTGGTATCAAGAGATTAATGTGTTAATGTGAGTCCTCTATATGCTTAGGTAACTTTACTCCTGGAAACTCTAGCTTTGGCCCAGAGAGCTTCAGGCAGTGCTTTCAAATTGCCAGTTTTTTCACAACATGGATCAGGTATTTGGATCACACCTTCTTGGCTCTGGATCCAGATAAGGCTCTGTAAAATTGGTGACAAGGGCAGAGGAAGTATAGAAAGCTTTGGTGTGTGGTTTTGCTTTGTCTCCCTTTCAGCCTTTCCCAGTTTTCTAGGTCTGTCTTTCCTTCTTCCTTTCTTTTCTTACCACACTATTGCTCATGTATCCAGAAAGAAGTATTTCTTTGATACTGCAATAGGGTGTGGAAAATTGTGTTATGTAAGAGCAGTGGGTTTTAGGGAAAGTTTAAGAAACAATCAAGAAGCACTTATCTGGCAAGTTCTGCTGTATGCCAGGTAATGTAACTAGCCTCAGGCAGGGATCATAGGAGGATCATTTCTTTCTTGTAGAACTATATAGTCTTTAGGTGTTCCATGTGGAAAAATTCTGTGATTATCAGTCTTCCAGGAAGCTCAGTGTTCTCTACTTTATCTGCAAGAATTTACCAAGACTTCCTGGTGGGCCACTCCCATAGCACTGTTTTTTGTGGCGGAGGGGTGGTGGTGCAATTATATGATGCCGATATATAAAATCATAATGTCACTTTATTAGTTTAAGAAATAGATGCTGGTGATTGAGCGCAGTCTTCTCTATTAGTAGATAGTTATGGGAAGCCAAACCATATTCAGAAGTTTGCTTTGTTGGAATGGAACCTCAGAACATGGTTCTGTAATGTGAACATTATTGGGATCATAGTAAAAGATGAAATCATCCCTACTTCCATATTAACTAACCTACCTTCTCATTGACATGTTATGGTATTTCCTTAGTTCAATTAACTTCTTCTGTTACTTGTCTTTTAGTTAAATTCCTTGCGAGTCTTAGTATCTGCAAGCCTGCCACTCATTCTTTCTCTTTAGGGTGGTTTTATATCCCCAGCCTTATCTTTTATCATAAAACATACTAGTTTTGTGACGTATTATTCAAAATGCACCTTTATTCTTTACATTAGTTTGGGGGAGCAGCTCATCTCAGTTTTCATGTAGTACCTATTCAGAAAAGCAAAATGCGTGAAACTTCCTATAAAAATTAATAGTATCTGATAATTAGGGTTGTGATATGCAGGTTAGATCATGTCTAGCAAAGGAGGCAGGGAGAGGCAGATGAGTTGGAAAGGACCTTAGAAATCATTTGGTCTGACTCTGTTATTTTGCAGACTAGAAACCTGCCCTGTGGCCACTGGGTTATCTATATATGGTAATACCCAGACTTCATGCTTCCTAATCCGTTGCCCTTTTCTAGCACATCACATTGCTTTTACAGAGGAGTTGGAATTTGACTTGACTCAGCCATGCCATGGGTGGACACGTGTACATGTGTGTAATTCTAAGGATAAGAAGTATGAGCAATAATACAAATGTTAATTGAGGCTCATTATGTTTCAGGAGAATTTTATAAACTTGATGTTAATACTTCCAATACTGTAGGAGCTAGTGTCTATTATTAAACAGATTTTGAATTGCCAGAGTCAGACAGCTTATAAGTGGAAGATCTGGAATTCAAACGCAGAACTTCCTGACTCCAAAGCCTACATTCTTACATTAATTTTTTTCTTACATTCTACATTTAATTTCCACAGCAACCTATCAGGTAGTAAGCCTGTGAAGAAACACAGACTTAGAAAGGTTAAGAAGCTTCTTGGGTTACATATATAGTATTTTATGATTCAGATCCAATTCTTTGACTCTAAAGCTTGTGTTCTGTACCATTATATAAGCCTCGGCTTGAGAAACATGACAGACCTCCGGCTAAATATAGCAGGTTGAATATGCATATTTCTGTTAACTCCACTATAAAGAATAGCAAAGGTATAATACATGTGGAGACAAAGAACAGAGATGGCAGACAGTAATGCCAGCAAAATTTTGGAATATAAACATCTAGTGGATAAGTTGTAACTGACTGAGCAGAATCAACAGAGCTGCTTCCTAAAGTCAAATGAGGAAGAGGAGCAAAAAGAAACAGGCTGATTTATCCATTGACTACAGTAACTATTTGGGAATTAGATTCCTAAGATGTCCCTATAAACATATAGAGACTGAAAAACAAGAATTGATAGAAGCTGAAAAACAGAAGAATTGATAGAAAGTTTATATGAGGAACATTTAGACATTATCACCCCTCACTCCTCTTCCCCATCCCACCTGAATCCCTATCCCAAGCAGGCAACTCATTCTTACCATCAAAGCAGAAGATGGGAGATTTACTCTTTGGAAAAGCTGAACCACTCTGGATGCTAGGCATAGCTGAGAATGGGACCAAGGTGCGCTTTGTTGCAAACATGACTGCTTTAAGAAAGTCTGTATGTTAAATAATCAGCTCCTTTGCCCGCTACAGTCTCAGAGTGTTCTAAACAGGATATAAGAGGAGTATATTTTGGAGACTGACATTTGAGGGCTCACAAACAAAACAGCCACATTCCCTGCCCAGTCACTTTAAGGTGATGCCCATCAATCAACAGATCCCACCCATGCACACAGAGCTCACAGTTTTTTATTGCTTCTCTTTTAATATTAACAGATAGCCAGAGATCAATGCAGTTTTGAGAAAACGTTTTCACATAAAGTGCAGAGTCAAAAACAAGCAAATGACAAAAATCAGAAGAAACAAACAGTGTACATTGCTGAAGAAAACATTCAAAAAAACTCAACTGTAACTAACATTTTCAGAGAGGATTTTGCATCCTTTAGTGCCATGAAAATGAATAGGAAGAGGTCCGGGCACAGTGGCCACACCTGTAATCCCAGCACTTTCGAAGGCCGAGGCGGGTAGATCACGAGGTCAAGAGATCGAGACCATCCTGGCCAACATGGCAAAGCCTTGTCTCTACTAAAAATACAAAAATTAGCTGAGTGTGGTGGTGTGCACCTGTAGTTTCAGGTACTCAGGAGGCTGAGGCAGGGGAATCTTTTGAATCCGGGAGGCGGAGGTTGCAGTGAGCCAGAATGGTGTCACTGCACTCCAGCCTGGCAACAGAGTGAGACTCCTCCTGAAAAAAAAAAAAAAAAAAAAAAAAAAAAAAAAAAAAAAAAAAAAAAAAAAAAAAAAAAAAAAAGGGAAGAGAACAAGAAAGAATGATTGCAATTTAAAGTATAATAAGTTGTTTATTTATTTAGTAAGCAGGTTAGAAAATGAAGTAGGACAGATGGTGAAACAAAAAGAGAGATTGAAAATAGATGAAAAAACAAAACAATTGGAGGTTTAATCAGGGAAACCCAATAGCTGACTAACAGGATTTTCAGAAACATAATAGAGGAAAAGAAAGGAAGAAATTATTAAATATCACAAGAAAAATTTCCAGCACTGAAGGGTATGTGTTTCCACAATGAAAAGGCCCATTTCAGTGTAATAAAAAGATTCACGTGATGGCAGGTTGTTATTAAATTTCAGAACAATGGGGATAAAAATTCCTAAAAGGTTCTTGAATGGGGTGGGACGTGGATGGTAGAGTCTAAACATACAAAGTGTAGGGATTTGAGTAGCAGTGGACTTTCTGCCATGTTGAAGCAAGAAGGTAATGGGTAATCACTTCAAAATTTTGGTGAGAAGTGATTTCCAACCCACAATTTTATGCTCAGTCATTCAAGTGTGAGGGTAAACTAAACTTATTTTGAGATCTGCAAAATCACAAAATATTCACCTGCCTTACATTCTCAGGAAGTTACTGAAGGATATGCTTCTCCAGAATGAGGGAGGAAATCAAGAAAGAGATACAGAATCCAGGAAACAGGGTCTCTGACACAGGAGGATGGTGAAAAGAATTCCCACAGGAAGGAAAGCTCTAGGAAAGCAGTTATGCAGGAGAGCTAGAGAGCAGCAGGAAGAAATAAGGTGCTAGGAGGTATGTCTCTAGGAAAATATAACTGGCATTTTCACCATGGTGAGAAGAACTTAGTTTTGTCACAATTTTAGGGGAAGGATTGGTGATAGATACGTATAAAACCAAGGAAAAGGAAAGGATAGGCAATTAATAACTTCAGAAAAAAATAGAAAATTGAAGAAAGGAAATATAATCATGACATACTCTGATTCAGTTATGTGCTACTGTGTATAGTTTGGTTTTTAGCTGAAAACGATAGCAACGCTATGTTGACAGGGTGAGGGGAAGGGAAGTATTTGAGGGGTCGGGGGAAGGAAGGTGGGTGTAACAGAGCTGCAGTAGCATCTTCCGTACTGTAAAGTCTGAAACTGATGGCTAAAGTGGAAAAACCCAGAAAATAGCAACTTAAGCATTTTATTCAGAAATATGAATTAAAAACAAACAGTTTTAAAAAAGGAGATATGAAAATGCTTGCCTCTAAGAAATAGAATATGAGAAGTGAAGGGAATTTCATTGTAAACTTCGTACTATCTGACCTTTTCACTTATGTAGGTGTATTA